GATGGAGAGAAACTATAAAACTAGATCATCTAGACCGGTAGAATATTTGACAAAAATTATGGAGGGTACTGACATATTATAGGTTACCTTTAGTGATCTTTAGATTTTAAATCATTGAATATTATTGTCTCATTTTGGGGATAAAATAAATGCTTTGTTAATTATTGCACAAATCAAGCCACTGCAAAAAAAACTTCTAAAATATTGTGCCTTAAACTCTGCTTTATGAGAGTCTAGTAGTAGGTAGTCTAAACCTAATATTTCAGCTCCACATAAATAAACAACTTCCATTTTGATGCCTAAGACTCTGCATCACTTTCTCCTGGTAAAAGGACAGCATCAAATGGTAAAGAGGAGACCAATTCCCATCCTTTAATTGACAAGACCCAGAAATGTCACAATTCACTTGTGGCCACATCCCTGTGAACACTACTTCTACACATAACTATAGCAAACTGTAAGTGAAGCTGGAGTTGCTGTTGTCTTTGTTATTAAATGGAGCAACTGAATGGTCCCCACCAATTGATAAAAACTGCTGAATTGCACCCTGAAATCTCTACTTTTTCATATTTCATCTTAAAAGCAAAACATACATGGCCTCACCAGTTATATTGCAAACTTTGTATTTTATTTTCTTTTTTCTTTTTTCTTTTTTTTAAATTTATTTATTATTATTATACTTTAAGTTGTAGGGTACATGTACATAACGTGCAAGTTTGTTACATATGTATACTTGTGCCATGTTGGTGTGCTGCACCCATCAACTAGTCATTTACATCAGGTATAACTCCCAATGCAATCCCTCCCCCCTCCCCCCTCCCCATGATAGGCCCCGGTGTGTGATGTTACCCTTCCTGAGTCCAAGTGATCTCATTGTTCAGTTCCCACCTATGAGTGAGAACATGCGGTGTTTGGTTTTCTGTTCTTGTGATAGTTTGCTAAGAATGATGGTTTCCAGCTGCATCCATGTCCCTACAAAGGACACAAACTCATCCTTTTTTGTGGCTGCATAGTATTCCATGGTGTATATGTGCCACATTTTCTTAATCCAGTCTGTCACTGATGGACATTTGGGTTGATTCCAAGTCTTTGCTTTTGTGAATAGTGCTGCAATAAGCATACGTATGCATGTGTCTTTATAGCAGCATAATTTATAATCCTTTGGGTATATACCCAGTAATGGGATGGCTGGGTCATATGGTACATCTAGTTCTAGATCCTTGAGGAATCGCCATACTGTTTTCCATAATGGTTGAACTAGTTTACAATCCCACTAACAGTGTAAAAGTGTTCCTATTTCTCCACATCCTCTCCAGCACCTGTTGTTTCCTGACTTTTTAATGATCGCCATTCTAACTGGTGTGAGATGGTATCTCATTGTGGTTTTGATTTGCATTTCTTTGATGGCCAGTGATGATGAGCATTTTTTAATGTGTCTGTTGGCTGTATGAATGTCTTCTTTTGAGAACTGTCTGTTCATATCCTTTGCCCACTTTTTGATGGGGTTGTTTGTTTTTTTCTTGTAAATTTGTTTGAGTTCTTTGTAGGTTCTGGATATTAGCCCTTTGTCAGATGAGTAGATTACAAAAATTTTCTCCCATTCTGTAGGTTGCCTGTTCACTCTGATGGTAGTTTCTTTTGCTGTGCAGAAGCTCTTTAGTTTAATTAGATCCCATTTGTCAATTTTGGCTTTTGCTGCTGTTGCTTTTGGTGTTTTAGACATGAAGTCTTTGCCCATGCCTATGTCCTGAATGGTACTACCTAGGTTTTCCTCTAGGATTTTTATGGTATTAGGTCTAACATTTAAGTCTCTAATCCATCTTGAATTAATTTTCATATAAGGAGTAAGGAAAGGATCCAGTTTCAGCTTTCTACTTATGGCTAGCCAATTTTCCCAGCACCATTTATTAAATAGGGAATCCTTTCCCCATTTCTTGTTTCTCTCAGGTTTGTCAAAGATCAGATGGCTGTAGATGTGTGGTATTATTTCTGAGGACTCTCTCATCACTCCTATTCAACATAGTGTTGGAAGTTCTGGCTAGGGCAATTAGGCAAGAGAAAGAAATCAAGGGTATTCAGTTAGGAAAAGAAGAAGTCAAATTGTCCCTCTTTGCAGATGACATGATTGTATATTTAGAAAACCCCATTGTCTCAGCCCAAAATCTCCTTAAGCTGATAAGCAACTTCAGCAAAGTCTCAGGATACAAAATGAATGTGCAAAAATCACAAGCATTCTTATACACCAGTAACAGACAAACAGAGAGCCAAATCAGGAATGAACTTCCATTCACAATTGCTTCAAAGAAAATAAAATACCTAGGAATCCAACTTACAAGGGATGTAAAGGATCTCTTCAAGGAGAACTACAAACCACTGCTCAGTGAAATAAAAGAGAACACAAACAAATGGAAGAACATACCATGCTCATGGATAGGAAGAATCAATATCGTGAAAATGGCCATACTGCCCAAGGTAATTTATAGATTCAATGCCATCCCCATCAAGCTACCAATGAGTTTCTTCACAGAATTGGAAAAAACTGCTTTAAAGTTCATATGGAACCAAAAAAGAGCCCGCATCTCCAAGACAATCCTAAGTCAAAAGAACAAAGCTGGAGGCATCACGCTACCTGACTTCAAACTATACTACAAGGCTACAGTAACCAAAACAGCATGGTACTGGTACCAAAACAGAGATATAGACCAATGGAACAGAACAGAGTCCTCAAACTTTGTATTTTAATTTTTACAAACATTTTTATAGTACAGAGATAGAGAACAAAACACAGGGACAGGGGAAAGAAATGGGGAGATGTAGATCAGAGGAAAACAAAGTAGCAGATACATAGGATGAACAAGTCTAGAGACATAATGTACATGAGGGCTATAAGTAATAAAATTGCATTGTGTATGAGATTCATGCTAAATGAGTAGATTTTGGCTGCCTTGCTACAAAAACAAACAAACAAAAAGTTGGTAACTATGTGAGATGGTGAATACATTAATTTGCTTCAATATAGTAACAGTTTTACTGTCTACATGTATCCCATAGCATCATGCTGTGTATCCAAAATATACATAATGAAATTTAGTTAAAATATATACAAAGCTTAATCCATTTCCTGGAGCATTTTTGCATGGATGCCTATGTGTCAACCTCTGTAACTTTCTTTTCTTGACCTTGTACTATATGAATTAAGGTAGAGTTATTCGAATCATGAATAGTACATCACAGATGGAATATACTGATGCAATGGGAATGCATATAGTATAATAAATATCACATATTATGTTTTATAAATTTTTGATAGTAATGTAAGTACAGGATTTTTCTTTCTAGGCCTGTTTTACAGCTGTTAAATACCATCAATTCTTACAAATTCTTCTCTCTTTATTTTTCACACATCCATGGCATTATTTAAATATCTCTTGGATTTCCATTTCTTGGCTTAAAACTCTCTTTGAATGTTCTCGTCCAGTACTGACCAATAGAACTTTCTGTGATGATGGACATATCCATTATGGTAGCTACTATGTGAAGGTTTTGAGTACTTGTGTTGTGACTGATGTAACTGAGGAACTGAATTTTAAACTTAATTTCATTTAATGAATTTAAATGTAGATAGCCAGACATGACTAGTGATCACCCCCTTGGACATACAGTTCTAGTCACTCTCCACTCCGTTTACCAACTTATTTCAGCCACATCTATTTTACTGCATCATATTACTCCTGAAATATCCTTCAATAAATTTACTTACTCAACATGTATGTATTTGGGGTTTTATTCTCTGGGTGAGAAATTTTGTATTTTAGGTGTGATTTTATCCTAGCTTTGAGTAGTCTAATAATAATATACATATATAATATTTGTTGAACACATTTTGTGTTAGAAACGGTTCTGAGCATGTTATTCATAATAAATTGTTTCATTATCACAAGAAACTAGCATTATAATTATCACCATCTTATATATGTATAAAAGGACACAACCATAAGTTAATCAATTTTTGTCTAAGATCAAATAGGTAGCTAGTAAGTGAATGAGCTAGGATGTAAACCTCACGCAAACTGGCTTCAAATACCATTCTTTATTATTTCATCATTCTGGAGAGTAAGTTTTCATCAGTGGTTCTCCTTATTCAAAATACATCACAGTTGGAGCCTTTCTAGAAGCTTTATTTGTGTATGCATAATATAGGAAACTATCTTGCCTCTGACAAGAGAGAAGAGAAAGGAACAGTTTCTCTTCTTTCTTTTTCTTATCACAATTCTCTAAGCAAAAACTATGTTTATAAAAATTGATCCAAACCATTCCTTATCTTCACTGAGTATTAGTACCTTATTTTATCCAAATGATATTAAATAAATTAGTAAACATAAGTGAAAATAAGCAGGCGCTGTATGTTTGTTCCTATTACTACAAATGATTATTCAGGTTTATCTTACTCAGAACACAAACAGAAAGAGTTATAAAGTACTCAAGATAGATTATTTTCTAAAGGCTATAACGTTAAGATTTAACTCAGGTCAATCATCTCCAAGTTAAAATTACTTAGAAGCGTACTGTCCATAATTAAGTAATCTTATCTACTAATATTACGGAATAAGAATACCTTTAGGTGACATGAAATCTGTCATTTTAAGCATGCCCCCAAGCCTTTTCAAGATTGCTCATAAAATTTCTCATTCTCTAGAGAAATGTGATCTCTAAGAAATAAATGTCTCTTTCAAGTCACAAGTAATATGAGCACATGAAAAAAATGGAATTTTGAGTCTTAGAAGGGATATTGCAGTATTATAAAATTGCTTTTATTTCTTGTTATTTAAGTTCTCATGGTCGTTTTAGGATTTACCTTCTAGATATAAAGGATTATGATTTCTTTTAGGGAGGTGGGGGACAGAAGCCTTTGGGGACCAGGAGAATATTTTTCATATGAAATTCTTTGTCATAAAATGCTAATGTTGGTGTTCTTGTCTTTATGTCTATGCATTCTTTAGCTATGAGGATAACAGACCCTTCATCAAGTAAGAATGACCTGAATGGCTGATAAATTCCATTTATCAGTGTGGTCCCATGAACCAGCTGTCAGATCAGTACTGAAAAATCATTAGAGCCTCTGTCATTCACATTGAGGCAGAAGAGCAAACTGTGCAGGAAAATAATCTGGCATACAACTTACATGCAGAATAAATATGCTGCAGGTGTATTGCCAAAGAAAAAAATTCTGCTTCACCTCTGTTAATTGGATATCACCTGAATCTAGTGCCACAGCAATAGCAATTTCCTGTGGTACAGACTTGTTTCTCTTTTAATAGCTTCCCTCTCATTGTGATGTGTTCCTCTGTGCCACATACGTCCGCTTTTCTGTTGTTTGTTTGGGCATCATTCATCTAAAATTATTCTGTCATTTACTGGTATATCTTCAAAATGATCTTACGGGTATAAAACTACCCAATTGCAATTGATATTAATGAATTGCTATACTAAATATAAATAAAGAAAAAATTGCCTTCCTAAAAATTAATTTTTACATATGCAAAATTATCCCTTTCAAATTTGACACCTATCACTTGATTAATGATCTAATCTATATGAATATATTTCAGTTTCTGAAATAAAGCCACAAGTCTGTACTAATCTAACAAATGTGAACATAAATGTTAACATTTGGACATTTTTCCCATGTATACTTTAAAATTACAAGTCCTGCAAGAATAAACTAAGATTGGTAACCTATGGGCAATCTTGCTGTAGACTTTCAGTTTGTTCTTCTGGTGAAGAGTCCTTTGTTTTCATTTTTTTTTTAGTGCCATTTCGCTTCTTCATGCTTTTGCTTTCATTCTTTCTTTCTTTTTTTTTTTAAGAAATTGGGGCTCATTGCAGTTTTCTGCAACTTAACCCTTGGGCCCATCATGTGTTTTCCAGTGGTTAATACCTGACTTCAGTATTTGATCCCATTATTTTGCTTCTAAATCTAAATAGCAATATTGCCTTGATTTAATGGCAATTCTTATTTTTTCTTTTTTGAACATCCATAAGAAGCTGAGAGCTTTTCCTTGAAAGTTAATATACTTCTGAATCCCGCTGTAGAATAAAATATTAACACCTAAAATGTTTTCTAAATGATATAAGGAAACATGTAACATGTAATAGCAAAACTCCTTTAGAGATTCTTTATTCAAGAATGTTGATGTTTTCAGTTAAACGTGTTAAATTTAGTGGGCATTTAAACATGAAATATAGTGGCTGATTGTTATGGGAGAAAAATAGTAAATATTTATAATTAATTTTAATAAGACTTTAATAATTAACTACTCTGGAACCATATCTTTCTTAAGATGCAGTTCCCTCTAAAAAACAAACTGAACTCAGCTTCAGATTATCATAAACATATATGATCTTTCCCCTTCATTTTACAAAGTCTCAATCCCTGTAAATATATCTTCCAGAGACATTATAGTGGAGGATAATAATCTGCTAGAAAGAAATATGAATTCACCCTTTTCAAGGAAGATGTGCTGGGAATAAAGAGGTTGGGCTTTTTAGTGTATAGAGATCTCTACTGATTTGGTCCTGTTCTCCCATATACTTAGGAGTTGAGAATGATTTCATTTCAGTTATGAGTCCCACCTGTTGCAAGAATTCATTTTATCTTGATATTCAATACATAACTTAACCACAAATATATGAACTTTGTTACCTGCTTATACTCTTGCAAATGACATCTTGGAGGAAACTAAGAGAATGGAATGGGAGTGAGAGCTTGTCTTTCATTCTATACCACTCCGTTCATACCACTCCATCTTCATTCTCAGCTTCATCTTCTCCCTTGAGTTTACAGACACTTCAAAGAAGTGAAGTTTCTCTGAGCCTTCAAAAATTTTTTCAGCAAAGCTGCCAAATGACTGATTTCTAAAATCTACTACAATGTAGCATAGAAGAGAGTGATCCAAAGGCTGAAGGAGAGTAGAAACAGAGTGTTTCCATTAGAGTGGAACTATTTTTTTCCATCTACTATCCCTCACTCTTAGTCTTTATAAATATAGGTTAGACAAGTAGGGCTCATTAAATTCATACATTAACTTCAAATCCATGTATTTCCTCCTAATACGAGTTATATTTTTGTCAGTAAACAATAAAATTTTTGTGGAAAAAGAGGAAATTTTGAAAAAATGAGGTACAAGTGTATCAGAAGAAGCACTAATAGAGGGAAATCAATCAAACAAATGTTACCCCTGTGAGCCCAGTGAAGACTAACATAGCTTTATAGCCTGCTTTCCTCTTGCCATTCACCATAATTACACCTCATGCCATTTGCATATGTGCTGCAAATACATGAATAATTTATGGTACAAATCTGCTTTTGCTTAAATGAATTTCTGTGTTCATTACATTTTCATTCATGTATATCTCCTCAAGCTTGAAAACTTGTAGTCTCATTAAAACCTTAAAGTACTTACACCACCTGTCTTACATTTTCTGTCAATAAAAGTTACTGTAACATTTTTTTTCAGTGTCGTATTGTTGATCTGATATGGTTGTTAATTAAAGACCAATTATTTAATAACCCTTAATTTTCTCTTCTCTCTACAGGTCATGGGTTATAGGTGCAATAGCTCTTCTCTGCCTATTAGGATTGACCTGGGCCTTTGGACTCATGTATATTAATGAAAGCACAGTCATCATGGCGTATCTCTTCACCATTTTCAATTCTCTACAGGGAATGTTTATATTTATTTTCCATTGTGTCCTACAGAAGAAGGTAAGCTAGAATTCTTTTTTTAAAATATAAATGGCATACATTTCATGACAGCAAAGCAGCCATAACATATTCTAACATATTATTATTGATATGTTTGTCTACAAGAAATGAAGATACTCATCTTTTATAATAGTAAAGCAAAACAAACACAAAATACAAGCATAATAGTTGGTGAGAGTGTCCAATAGTAAAAAACAATAAAAACATTTTCAGATTTAAAATATTAACAAAAATTATTTTCTTGTAGATTTGACTTTGTAGTCTTCAATATTCCCATTGATGGCCAATTGTAGTTGTGTATTAGGAAGTAATTATTTTCTAAAAATGTTGTGGAGGCATGAGATACATGCACACACACACACATCATGGAAATATATCACAGTATAGGAAATAAACATATGTGGGTTTGAATCTCTGTTCTTCTATTTAAAAACTTATGTGACTTTTGGCAAGTTAATTAACCTCCCCATGTCTCAGTTTACTCATGTGTGACATGAAGGGGGTAAAAATAATTATAAAATATTCAAAGAGATGACTCTGAAAATGAGGTAGAACATTATGTTTTAAAATTTGTGGGAAAGAAACAATAAGATTTATAATTTTTCTTTGGAAAACAAAGGAAATAAGAAGTAAAGATATCCCTTTCTAGGATTTTTAGTTTTAGAGACTGGTGGGACCAAAACAAGAAGTTGAAAAGAGTGTCCACTTGTCACAAGATGGACAAACATAAAACAAAACACTACTCTGTTTCAAATTTAGAAGGTAGTAGATATCTAAAATGTGTTGACACGATCACAAATACAGAATAGAGTAGTAATGATGAGGCAGGCTTCTAAACGTATGTTACAGAAAAGGAAAGAGGTAACATTAGAATGGATGCATTCTAATCTAATTCATTAGAATTCTCCTTATAAAGAGGTTGTTTTAAAATAGATGAATCCTGCTATAACAGGATGTTTTAGAAAAAATAAAAATAAAATAAAATAGATGAACCCTCCCAAATAATTAATATGTATACCTCCCAAATTACAGAAGCCTTACTCATCATATGTTTATGTTTTACTCATTGCCCAATGGATGGGGTTGCCCCATGAAGGGACATAGGCTGATGAAGATTCAAACAACCTCACTCTATGATTTTATAGTCCTCTTTGGTTTTGACATCCAACAGGAAGTCTGGGAGAGAGAGAGATGATTTTGTACTAAAGATTTGAAAGTGGCTCACATGGCTTCTACTAATTTTTTTTTTTTTTAATCAGATAGGACTCTGTCTATGGTACCACCTAAACTGCAAGGGAGACAGAAAAACATAGTATAGCTTTCTTAGTTACAAAGAGAGGAAATTGGGTATGGTGAATAGATGGCAGTCTGCCACACTTAATGTATTTAAAGAATAGGAGACATGTAAGTGACGAGTGAGAATAGAGCTGGAAGGAAGAACAAGAATCAAGATGATACACTGAATTAAAGATAGGATAAAATGTCAAGAAGAAGACAGTGGTTGGTATTCTAAAAGACTTTAGAGAAGTCAGAGAGACTAAAACTTGGGAAAGATGTTTAGATTTGGATAGAAGAAAACCATAGCCATAACTGATGCTCAAGAGAAATACATACAAAAAATGTGAACAAAATCAGGAGATTAAGGGAAAACATAGCATTTGCCCGTGAAAAAAAGGGAATGTATTGGGTCATTATAATCAGTCATAACATACTGAAGTATAGTAGATTTATTTGCCTGTCATCTTTATTTTGTACATTAGCTGGAAATTTGGACCAACATAGTTTTAAATTTTTATTTAATTTTTTTTTACTAACTCATTAAGAAGTAATTTTTAAATTTTAAAGTTAATTTGGAAATTTTCTGCAAGGCAGAAAAGAAATTTTTGTACTTTACACACAGATTATTTTGCTTTGAGTATTTTTTATTAGCCAACACCTCTTTCAGTTTTCCCAACATTAATAAAAATGTTATTTTAGTTTTTCTTGTCTTAACATAAACATATCACTGGAATAAGTAAGAATTGCATTTGATACCCAGGTAGAGATTTTACATCTCACAACCCTAAAACAACTTTAGAGTTTTTAATATATTTAACATAAGTTAAATTTTAAAATATGTATGTCATTCTCCTGCCTCAGCCTCCTGAGTAGCTGGGACTACTGCACTCCAGCCTGGGCGACAGAGCGAGACTCCGTCTCAAAAAAACAAAAAACAAAAAAATAAAAAATAAAAAATAAAATAAAATATATATGTCATCAAGTTCAGTTTTGTGATTCATTAAAACAGAGTTCCAGAAACTGTGGCTCATGAGCCAAATTCATCCAGCTGCCTTTTATTTTTACAGCCAGGAAGCCAGGAATGGTTACTACATTTTCAATACATAAAGTTTAAAATAAGTATATACACCATATCCTTAGTTTTGGCTCCTGACTCAAAAACCTTAAAATATTGACTACCTGGACCTTGTCTAACTTGCCAGGCCCTGATTTTGAAAGTTTATTTTCATGATTTATGATAACAAGTAATACATATTGTTCTTTCATCCATTCCATGTTTTGAATTTTAAAACTTTGGTTGCATTTGTATTTGGTGTCAAGTGTATGGGCCAACATGAGAAAATACAGAAAACTTAATTATTTTTGGTTTTTATTTTATATAAAAAATGTCATATACTTGTCTTTGAAATTGAAGAAATGGTTGGGAGGTGTTTTTTCTTTTAAGCCATCAGATTAAATTTCACTAATATGCCATCGCTGGTATAGTTGCTTATATATTTTGATTAGATAAATATGAAGTATTTCATATTTGAAAATTGTTGTCTTATTGAATTATTTGTCGATTGCTTCAACTTATTCGTAAAATTAAAATTTTTGAGTCATCAGTCTTTTTCTGAGTATGGATTGTGTAAACAGTATTTCCACTGGCCACATTAAAGTGGTCACTTTTACTTTTGTTGTACATTCAAATATTTTATATATTCTCAGAGCTTCCATGATCATTTTATTTCTGATATGAGAAATATCAGAAATATTTTATTGGTAATATATATTCTCTTTCCTGTATTCTATGTTCTAGAACAGCATCACACCAAAATAGGATATCATCTAACTAGGGTAACTAAGATGCAGTGCCATGTGAAATAGTAGATTAGAATATGCAAATGATTGAACAATCAAATAACTGTTTTATTGTAATCTAAAAAATGTTTCCTGGACACGGTCCATGTTATTTTTTTTCTTCTTTTTAAGACATATGCTTACCATTTCAAATCAAATCACAGCAAAATAAAGTCAGTATAATGATTCAGTAAGTAATGTAGCTAATGCGAGACTTGGCATCACCAAATATCTTGATTTTCTGGTTGTTTATATTATCAGTTCAGAACATTTAATCTTTGTTGGAAAATTCAGATAGTCCATGATGAATTATTGTGGCTTAAACAATATTGCTGATTTTGTAACAGGAGGGAGAGTGGTTCTTTTTCTGTCTTCTTTGCCTTTATTCCTCATTGTACTGAAATATTTGTTTAGGTTTATATCACTTCATTCAAATACCATTTCTCATCTAGAAACAAACATATCATTTGCTGTTTACCTTAGGAAAACAATGGGATGTTGCAGGGGGAAGTTATGATCAAAGTTTAGATTCCTAGAGATGTTTCATAAATCAGTAGAAATTACTAAGCTATCATTGATACTGCTTACTTTTGGTTAGAGATTATTTTAAGCCTTCTCGAGTTCTAATTAAAGCATTTGTCCTCATTCTTTCCAGACACAAAGAAGGAGATAATTAATAGATTACTTTAATAATGATATTAGTGATATACAATGTCTGTGCTGGTCAATGATTTCATGTTCCAAATATGGCATCTTAGAGCTTTTTGATCATACAGCACTCGTAAAATGTAGAGTTTTCTCCTAGGGCACATCGCTTGACCTTTTCAGTCTTGTTTACTCTCATTACTTAACCCATTTCAATCTCCTAATCTATAAAATGAAGTTAATAATTATTTTTCAGACTCATTTTGAGGGACATACCTAGCACAATTCCTGACACATAATAGTTAAAAAGTAGAAGTTTCTTCTTTTTACCCTCCCTGCAGATGCATCTTAGAAACACACATAACTGGTTGCAGACTGGTGTCTTTTTTTAAAATAAACAAAATATGGACTAACTTGTAAACACTGAACAAAAATGATTGTCTCTATTTCAAATTATTGATAAATGTAGCACAGAAGAGACTGGTTGCAAAACAAATCAATAGCATTTTAAATACATTAAAAATAAGTAATTTTGCCATGCCAGAGCAGAGAAAGGCCTTAAAGACCAGCACATCATAACCCTGTTTTGTTCATTCTATTCTTTGTGGTGAGAATGCCTTTTTCTCCTCTTCTTCCCTATCTTTTATTTCAACTTCACTCTATGAATTAATTCCAGCTGCTCTTTTGAAGGCTTTCTGGGAAGCTCTCTTCCCCAAGAAGCCCTCCTTGGCCCCCCACACCTACCTCCCACAGGCACTCCTCTTCTATGTTTGAGTCACCTGACCCTATCTCCGTCACTGTTCTTATCCCATAATAAGCACTGATAAATGTGAGTTCTTTGAGCAAATCTGCATATGTTCTGTCTTTGATTCTCCTATGTCTTTGACACAATGAATTTTACAATAATAAGATGAAACGTTCCCATTTTGAATACTAAATTTAATGTATCATTTACATACCTTTTTTTTGCTTTTGATTCTAAATAACATCCCTTTTTAAAGCACATGTTTAAAACTTTGATTTAAATAAAATCTTATTTGAATATTACATTATCATAAGTTGTGGAAAAAATGAACTAATGTGAAATCAAATACATAAAGGCCTAAGAATAATTTATGTATATGATGTTGTTTCATAATATAAATTCATGAACATATAATCAATATAATAAGATGTCCCTTTGTTGTTATTGATAGTAGATACGTGATTTAAGGCAGTTACTGTTTATTTTTATATGTCTTGTTCAATTAAATAGGCAGTAATAAAAATTATAGACATGATTAAAATTTTTACCGAAAGTTGATATATTTCTCTGCTGGAAAACATCAGCTAAAAGTTTTCCTTTTCCCTGTAATTTTATACTACAACCAAGATTAAGTATTTAATCAAGAATGCTATAAAGAAAAGTAATTATATTTCTCTGTGATTATTGAGTAGAACTATTTTGAAGGACTACATTTACAATCTTTTTAATTTTTGTTCTCAATTTGAACATTTGATCTCTTTTAAAATAAACTTCAGAGAAATATAGATTTAGAAGAAATGGTTAGCCCAACATACTCATATTTTCTGTCTTTAAATATCCTTTCTCTGCTTTCTCACTTTCTCTGATCTCTCTCTCTGTCTCTCTCCCCCACTTCTTACCCTACTTCCTCCATCCCACTCTCTTTAACTTCCTAACTAGGCTTCTACCTAAAGAACAACAACTACAATTCCCTTGCACCAATAGGCTACTTTATATAAAATTTATGAAGCTAAAAATAGTATCTTCGATGGGCTTAAGTATATGTTCTTGGAACTAAGAGAAAGTACCACTATGATGTGATGGGAGGAGTGTGAGTATGTGTGTATGAGTGTGTGTGTGTGTGTGTGTGTGTGTGTGTGTGTGTGTGTTTTAAAAGGCTCCAGAGTTAGGCAAAATTTCAAGCTTGACAGTATGCATATAATTATGTTGTATTGTAAAATACATGCTGAACAGACTTTCTTATATCTGTAGGGCAAGGAAAAAATTATGTTATCTAAAAATAAAACTCACATATATTGTCTACTTTTGTTCCTACCTGCAATGAATTACTTGCTAACAGAAGTTAATATTTAATTGTCTAGGTACGAAAAGAGTATGGGAAATGCCTGCGAACACATTGCTGTAGTGGCAAAAGTACAGAGAGTTCCATTGGTTCAGGGAAAACATCTGGTTCTCGAACTCCTGGACGCTACTCCACAGGCTCACAGGTAAACAATATTTGTTCACTGAAATGAAGTAATTCTTAACTATATTCTGTAACCTGTTCCTGTCCCTTATGATTGGAGCTAATTTCTATCCTGTGCTTAACACATCGTTTGTTTTTGTTGTTTCACTGTGTCTCACATGGGAATGATTCTGACAAAAATGGAAGAAACTAAAACTGTATTAAAATGATGAAATTGGGGTCTCAGTTTGCATAATAATTAATGACTTCAGATTGCTTTCAGTTCAATAAATGCAGCAGGTAAAGAAAATAATTTTCCAGTTCACCCAAAATTCAAAGAAAGTAATATTTCATGTATATAGAAATGTGATATATTGATATGATTCTAATTCTTATAATTCTTCTAACTAGTATAATAATTATCACAAACTGAGACAATTTACATATGATATGGTATGTTTAGGAAAAATAACTATGACTCAACCCTATTATGTGCTGAGAAGTTGAAGAAAAGTCAGGGCAGTGAAGACTACTACAACAGCACTATTAACATAGCTGGTCTAAGCCCCACTCCCATTCGCCTAACACTAGACATAGCAGCATAGTACCTTACCAGAAAAAGTTTAAGCTTTTAGGTAAACTGTGTGCCATTTTTCCCAGGGCACAGAGTCAGCTCAAAGATTATTACATAGAAATTTTAACAACTCCTGTATGTTAAGATGAGCCTGTCAATAAAAGACTTAGAATTGTGTAGGTCATGAGTGAGTTTGATTCAAGCTAGCAAACTAGTATATTTGTTTGTTCGTTTTTTGAGACAGAGTCTCACTCTGTTGCCTAGGCTGGAGTGCAGTGGTACAATCTCAGCTCACTGAAACCTCTGCCTCCTGGGTTCAAGCAATCTTCCCATCTTAGCCTCCAGCCTTCTGAGCAGCTGGGACCACAGGCATGTGCCACCATGCCCAGATAATTTTTGAGGTTTTTGTAGAGATAGTGTTTCGCCATGTTGGCCAGACTGGTCTCAAACTCCTGGCCTCAGGTGATCCACCTGCCTTGGCCTCACAAAGTGCTGGGATTATAGATGTAAGTCACCTAGACTAGTATTTTTAGGATTGCATGATTCAGTAGAAACAAAAGTCATGTTTTCAGTGTTGCCGCTTAAATTTTTCTGAGGAAGACTTGAGTTTAAATTGATAAATAAAGTTATAAATCAATCTTTTAGCTCAACCTATAAATTTAATTATTGTTTCATAAATTTGGTTATTTTATATAAAATAAGAGTGATTACTTCATTTTTTCTTTGATGAATGTTCAATTGGCTTGTAAGCTTAATAGATTAAATTTCCCTAAATAATTTCATTTATATGCTTAGAAAATTTAATTTCCTTATACCTTTTATACATCATTTATAAATTTAATATACCTGATTGTCTCAAACACATCAACTGTCAGACTAGACAGTCATACACACCTAACTAGCACTTGAACCAGTTATAAATCAATGAATGACCAGTGTTTTCATAGTTTCCTCACCATTTGAGTTTTTAATTTTACAAATAAAATCATATCTTTAATATCAATCCGATATTTCCAATTAAAATTTTAAAAGTTAACATATAACTGTCAAAAATATCAGACTATCTTAAATAGTTTTACCAACCACAAATCACGAAACTTAAATATAATTGCATGATTATTAATAATCTGAATTTGATTTAATTTTTACACACTACACTGAGGTTGTAAAGTTGCAAATCAGAGGAACAATTGTCCCAACTCAGATGGATGGAAATTTCTGAGTTTAGGACTACTAAATTTGCCAATCAGAGATCTGAATTCTCACATAAGAGTAGGGGCAGACCAGGATAATGCTTATAGCATGAGCCCCTTTAATAATTAATGCCTTTATTTTCAGACTTATAATCCCTTGCTCTTCCCCTGCTTTTTGTAATACCTTTTTCCATGACTTTTCAATTGATATTGCTGAGATTCTCTATATCATCCAGCCTGATTAGATCCCACATGCTTTTCACATTACTGAGCTCATCAGCTACCATCCTATAGTCATTTTATTGAAATATATCATTAATATTATAATAATACTTGGGGGTCTCATTTGCTACAACAGAGTTGTGCAATGTTTAGCAATACTTCTAAACTATGAGTTAGGACAGTACAGCTCAATGGAATAATAATAAACTCTGTGGGTGGGTATACCTTGTTTTAAATTCTGGCCTTGCTACATACCAGCTATGACACAAAACAAGTTACTAATTTCATTGACACTCAGTTTTTTCATCTGTAAAATGGTGATAATAAATACCGACGTCTTAAGTTGCTAAGAAGATTGAACTAATATACACAAAACAGAATAAATTGTGGGTGCTCAATAAATGGTGGTTGCTACCAGTTATTACTGTTGTTATTATAGAATATTACTGTATATATATTTTAAGTTGTATCATATTTTTCCCCTCACTCTTGCAATTTGTAATATCACAATTCTACTCTTGGAAAATAATTTACATTTTTTCTTATACTTAATATAATACTAATTCTGATTAACTATGACCATCCAAGCCTATGTAAGGTTATAGTTACTTAAATCTATATTATTTGTTTAGATAAGACGAGTAAATACATTTCTCACTAATTATGGCCATCCATAAGCAAATGCTAAAATACTGATATGAAAACAAAATTTGGGGAGTATGGATGCATCTTTCACATAAGAGCACTTCTAAAATAACTATTTTATTTAGAAATATTGAGTGCCTCCTATATAATGCCATTGATTTTCTAATCTCTGGGGATAAAATGGTTAAAAGACATATAACTTCCCCTGTGATCTGGAACTTTTATTCTAGTATTGGAAGATAGAAAGTGTATTAATTACAAACGACCCAACAAAAATATCAAATGAGAAAGCTGGCAGAGAACAAAAATATTATGTCAATTAGCCAGGTGGCTACTGGAATTAAGTGCTGGAGAAAGACTACCTTTGGAAGTGGTACTTATGCCAAAGTCTGAGTTACAAGATTCTAAATGAAGGAGAAAAGGACATTCAGGGGAACAGAATTCAAAGTGAGAAAATGTCTAATGCAAAGCCTTTACGGTGTGGAGAACTTACAAAAACTGTTGACCAAAGTAGGTTAGAGGGAGAATGAGACAGAAAGTCAAAAAAAAAAGGAAAGAGACCGATCCCTAGGTATTTGTAACAGTATGAAAATTAAATTTTATTTTGATTACTTTGGATAGCCAGTGAGATAATTTAGAAATGAAAATGATAGGATACAATCCGCATGTAATAAACATTATGTTGCTACATTGTGGATAATGGAGGGGATGATGGCCAAGACTAACAAGTAAAAATCCTCTTCACCTCTTGCTCCTCCAAACTTACTTCCTGATCCTAATCACTTACAAAAGTTTTATAATATACATCAGTCACACAAACATATTCACAGAAATGGGTGTAAAATTTTTTTAAACTATGGACTGAAATAATATCTTTTGACTTTCTTGTAATTGTTTTGTCATTTATCTTTCATGTATTTTATTGACTTTTAGATATATTTGCTTTTTATTATATAATATTTGAAAAATAAAAAAGTGACATATGTATATGAAACATTGAAACATTTTAATAAGATGAACACCTGTGAACTCAACATCCAACCGAAGAAATAGAACATTTTCAATATGTTTTCCTTTTTATTTAACCTCTCCCTAATCAACCCCTATGTCTTCCTCCAGAGAGGCCCCTAAATTTTATTTTTCCATTCCTGCAACTTATTCTAATAGTTTCCCTCCAAAAAAATGTTGTTCAGCATTCCTTTTTGAAATCTTTGTTTAAAAATGGTATTTGATTGTATGTAGACTTCTCTGACTTGTGTTTTTCACTCCCGTATTCTAAAACCCTTCCTGATTCATTCCATAAATATCTAAGTGTGGCCTCTGTGCCGTATACTATATACCTTTTTCTCTGCCTGCAGTACTTCTCCTTTTCCTCCTTTTCCTTTTTTCCTCTTTTCTCTTTTCCTCTTAAACTATGTTTGGTGTAGTGCAGTGAGTTGTTAACCTCTTGCACTCAGGAGCCAGATGACTGCATTCCAATGCTGATTATTAGGTCTGTGCCATTAGAATGTTCATTAACCGCTGTGCTTCGGTTTTCTAATGTATAGTATTACCTACTTCATGGAGTTCTTATGAGGTTTTGATGGGTGAATACGTGAAAGGTGTATATTATGGAAAAGAGAGCATAGAAAAATTGATACAGATGTATATAGACACACATGCACATATATAATATACATACACTATGTATGTATGTGCCAAGTATATGTACCTCAATTAACAAAAAAAAAACAAAAATTCTGTTTTCATAGAGCCTCAAGCCTATTGCAGACATCAGACGTTAAATGGTTAGCTATTAAGTATAAATGTAAGAAATAATTATATAATACATGGTATTGTAGGAGATGTTAGTGACTGTTGGGGGAATGTAGTAGGGGAAAAGGGACTGAGATGTGATTGAATTGTGTGTGTATATACATCCAATTCTAAGGAGGGTGGTCAAGTTATGTCTTCAGAAAAAAATATTTTAGAGTTAAAAGGGTAAAGGAATTATGCATACCTGTGTCTGGGGGAAGAGCACCCAAACAGAGAAAACAACCAACATTGCCAAGCTCTGAGGCACAAACATGCCTGGCATGTTAGAGAACAGCAAGGGGACAGGTGCAGCTAGAGCAGATGGGGGAGATAAATAGGAGATGAGATAATGGGGACAGCTCGTATAAATATCGCCTAACAATAATAACTTCGTCAACTCCAGATAAAATGTTACTTCTTCAGTCTGCATTGTTTTCAGACTCCCTAGAGAAGGACATATCCTTTAATATATGGTAAAAATATATGGTATAATTGGTAGAAGTCTTTACAAATTCTGTAGTATAAAGAATAGTCACAAAAGTATACAAAACATAAATGTATGGCACAATTAATTATTACCACTTCCCAGGCCAACTATCAATATACTGAGAATACCTTGGAAACCCTTTGAACCCGTCTCAATCATTAACCTCCAAACATAACCACTATCTTAGCTTTTAATAGCACATTTTAGTTTGCATATTTTGATGCTTATTCACCTGAAATCATTTAGTACATACTCTTTTATGTTTTCCTTTGTTCCCAAGACATCTGCATTACTGCAGGAGGCTATGAGCTCTTTAATTTTCTTTGCTTTATATTTTTGTATAGTTTATTCATCCATTCTACCAATGACAGTCATTTTGATTGTTCATATTTCAGCTATAATATTTAATGACTGTATGGAGATTTGTGGGCATATTGTACGTTTGCATTTATTTTTGTGATAATTTAACTAATCTGTTACTAGTTTAGCAGCTCCGTCAGGGTCAAGACATTTTGTGCTTACATTTCACCTTTGTATATTATAGGTTAGTATTTGGCAGGCAGTAGAGGGTAATTGATATTTTTAATTAATTAATTAATTAACCAACTAATGAAACAAATGTGAGAGACTGGCTCCCATCATTGTCCTTTTGTTTATTAGTTTTCTGTGTGTGTCTGTGTCTGTGTGTGTGTGCGTGCAGGCATTTGTCAACCTAGGGAAAATGTGATATACAACAATATATCTGAAGAATAATCATGTTCCAAGATTCATAAAACCAATTGTCTAATATTCTAACATTGGTTACTCCCATTATTCAAGAAGTTCAAATGTATTTGGAACATAACCCATTGTAGGCATGGTTTCATAAGTAGTAGTATTTCTTATAACTATTTCAACCTTGAAAAAACTTCTGAAAATATTTTGTTTCTTCCTCACAAGATTGTTAATACTTTTTTGATCTATAACTCAATAAAATAACAGAATAAAACCGAAAAAAATCCCCCCAATGGAAAAAGTTTATAATATGTATTTTCTTGAATTATCTGACACTTAGAAATTTGAATTTAAGAATGTCAATAATAATGTAAGAATTTTTAGTTATCTATAAAACCTCCTACTGAAGCAATGAATCAACTAACTTTATTTTCTTCAAAGAAAGAAAAGTCAGGATAGTTATGTAATCCCTAAAATTACATTGATCTTCCTATAAAAGTTATGAGTTAAGTTTGGTAGCATTTTAATAATGTTCTCTTTTCTTTTCTTAGCAAACTCTTTTGCAAGATTCTGATTTCTTAAACTAAATCTTTTGTTAGAACTGACAATTTAATGCATATTTAAACATTCCCATTCCAATAAAATTTACAGTAAAAATTGTTTCACCTTGGAAATTAAAATTTTCTAATTCTGTCTGAAGATATATACGTCTGTATATCTTCAACATATTTAAGTTGGTATAGTACTTTACATTTATTTCTTTTTTCATAGTTATAATTATCTTTGGTATATAGGCATTTAGGAATACAGTTAATGAGAACCATGTATTATCATGAATGTTATTTCTGATGTTCTCATGCTACTGTACTGCAAACATGTATTTGTTTATTTGCCAAATACTAGAAACAAACATCTCATGTAACTATGACAGAAAAGGAAATAATAATTTGTGTGAAAATTCACTGTCTCATGAGTTCATTTTCTTTCTACCTTTTCCCCCACCCAGAGCCGAATCCGTAGAATGTGGAATGACACGGTTCGAAAGCAGTCAGAGTCTTCCTTTATTACTGGAGACATAAACAGTTCAGCGTCACTCAACAGAGGTAATTAGAAATAATTTTTCATATTTATTACTCTTCTGATTAAGAAGTTCTTAAATGCATTGCTTTATTTGCAACTTCTGAACCTGTTCCACGTGATAGAAATATTGTAAGAACATAAAACTTAGTTGAATGTAGCAATGTGTTCCTTATTCATAAGACACTTTAAAAAAAAATTCTGAATTTTCCAGAAGTCTTTTCCAAAAGGAAATTAGAAAATAAGAAACTTTTTTTCCTAATCATCTGCTGCTGCTATAAACGAGAGCTGTCAGGCCTCATTGGAAGCAGTGAAAATGGGCAATTATGTGGCTATATAGTCGGCTAAGCATCATAGAGTTCCACATTGTCTTAGGTATAAAGCAATTTCATAGTCTTTGCGGAAGTAAAAGTATACTGTCTAATACATACTTAAGGCAACCTGTGTACTTGGAAAAAATCACATCTTAATGTCTAAAAGACTTATCTGGATAATATTGCATATTTAAAGATTTAGGAGAAAAGATACTTTGGGGTATATTATGATTTTTGTGTATATGCTTGTGGTTCAGTGCTCCCTGGGAGGCATTTAGATTTTTGAAATGAAGAAATGAAGTTCCCTTAATCTATTGTTTTGTTTGTGGTCGAGTTTTTTTCCTTGATCTTATATTCTCTCTCTCTCTCTCTTTCTCTCTCTCTCTCTCTTTCTGTGTGTGTATGTGTGGGGATATGATTAGAATTCATTTTGCTGCGATAAAAATGACCAGATGCAATTTTTTGGAGACCAAGAGGCTACTACAGTCAGCAATGGGAAATGTTTAGAATATAGTTTTATCCGGGAAGGAGGCATTTGTATGAATTTAAGTTATTTTTATGATCAATATTATTATTTTTATCCCCAAACTAGAATTATTATTTTGTTTTTAACTCATTTCTGTTAGTTTTTTTGTTATATTTTATGACTTAGGAAGAGATAATGTAATAATTATAATATATGATTCAGAAACATTCAGATACTAGTACTCTCAATTATTTGTACTCAAGTAAGTTACATCTTATTTATATAAAAAAGTTAGGACAGGCAGTGTCAAGATTGAATTTGATGCAGGGATCCATGTTTTAATATAATCTTAATTGAGTTTCATGTGTTGTTTGGGGTAACAATATAGAAACTATAAACTAGTGATGATTTAAAATTATCTACATCACTTTTTCTTGATTAGTAAGAATAGTGAGTGAGAATATTCCTCCAAATATGAAGAAAATATATTAAAATAAAACAACTACCTCCTAGTATTTTGTTTCATTATTAGTTTGTTTTTATTGGCTAGAATATATTCATGTAGACAATATCTCTCAAGTATCATATCTTTTTCAATTGAGTTTTAATGTTTAGTTTGTGAAAATTTCTTTTAATATGAGTATTCTAACTTTTTGACATTACCTTTAAATCGTAGAGAACAAATTACTTACAAATACCTCCATAACCTAGGATTAATTTGCTTACAGATGACTAATTTTCTGTATTCTTTAAACAATTCCATATATAAGAAAATTTACTGCATGTTCCAAGAAAGAGAACTGTCCTTACCCATAGGATTTATTGATAGAACTATCTTGCATTTAAAGATCCTGGCAGCCATAGAATAATTATTGATTAAACAAAGAATGAGGTAATATGATTTTAATGATGAATTGTTTTTATATCGTTAGGATAAATAAAATATGTAAAATTATTATTTTGTCTAATACTGTTATCTAAATTCATGTAAACATAATAAGGTATGTAAGTTCAGTAAAAACTGCTATGAATGGATACTATTTATGGGCTTAAAGGTAATCACTATCTAACACTACATTTAGTTTCTTCCTTTTTAATTGCTTCTCAAGAATTTAATCAACTTGGAATATAGTGATGTGTGGATAACTGGATCAATTTGAAATATATTTAAAGGAAATAGTATTATTTTATATTGTCTGGTCATATGTTTAAGTCTGTTTATCAAAATCTCTAGTTTTAAAAGATATTTCATACAGTTATTAAAGGAAGGGTATACAATTTCTTGTGACATTGAATAAGTTACTTTAATGATGCCTTTTTATAGAGAATTCAATTGAATTTATCATTTAAAAGCTGCCCAGATAGTGATCATTTCATCAGGATATATATTCTTCCTTTCACTTAGTGACTTTATTGGTGCTAGAAATCATAGTGATCTTCTTCATTTCCTATATTAATTTCTTAGTGCCCCTCAAGTCAGAAACTCCTAGTTTTATTCTCATCTTGTTTTTTTTATCTTAGATGAGTGGACTACTTGAAATTTTGTTTCTTCATATTGTATCTCTGAAGATAGTCTTTAACCTCCTTCTTTAATCTTGTCTTATTTCCCAGGGTCCTATCTTCCCTGCATTCAGGCGTGTGTATCATATTTAGGTAGGTGACATCCAAGATTCATCTTTTCAGATAAATAGTCACCTCAGCAACATAATTATTCACTTCTGTTTATTCAATCGATTATATTCTCTATTACTAAAATAAAAATCTTAGATACTACATCTTTACATCTTCATATATTCTAACTTCCCATTCATTTAGTTTTTTATAGATAGTGCTTTTATTTTAAATTCAGACTCCATTTTCCTTTCTTTCTAAGTTAGATATATTAAATCTCTTATTTTTGTCTTTAAGATAGTTCTGACCCTTGAAAATGACAACCTGTTGTCCAAAAATTAGTCCTATTTTTAATTTAGGTTTTCTTTCCTGTTCATTCCACTGGTCAATTCATCAAAAGAGTATTATTTTAAATTTTTGTATGTTTTATCATCTATTCTTACAAACAAGAATCAATCATTATTGTCTTTAGGATCCATTAGGAGTAAAGAATACATCATGCAGTGTAGAACTACTTCTCAATAGTATTTATTTTTTTAAACCATCTCAAATATTCTGTTCTTGAATTAGCTTGTCGTATCATAAGTATGAGATTACCTTTCTAGATTTCCCAATGTGATAAATTTGATTACTATTGGGATTTTACTCCTTGGAAGCATGTGAAACCTTGGAAGATTTATTGAAATAATAATTTTCAATGAGTATATTAATTCCTTTTTATTCTTTTTGGAAGTTTGTTGTTTTATAACTTTATCTTTTTAAAATCTTTCATTAAAATTGTACTTTGAATATCTATAAATATGAAAATGTTTCACAAAATGTTTTCTATACATTTTCAAATATTTTTCTTCAGCCAACTTGTTTGGCACAATGTTACACACTTAGACAAATTCAGAATTCCTTGAGGCCAATACCCCAGCACTACTATCAAGTTAACTTTAGCAATCCAGCTGAATACACAAGTAGAAGGAGCTGTAGAACAGCTGTAAGGTGATGGTTGATTATAGAGAGTTTCAACAAAGATTAACTCTACGCCAAACCCAAGTTTTCACAAACTTGTAGGACTTCGGTATGGTTTATTCATTGGTTCATTTAAGTATTTACTGTTCTGCTCATACCTTGAAGGTTTAGTCAGCACTTAATCCCCAGTCTCCTCCCAGGGCTGCTGGAAATCGAATTCAAATCTCTAGTAGTTCCAACTTTCTGGTAGCGGTGAAAATGACTTGTAGCTAGTCTTTTCCACCCATAGCTCCTACCAATAATCTCTGCAGGCCATATCTTATCTTGAGCTATGTATTTATTTACTTTTATTTAATTTATTTTATTTTATTCATTTTTTTCATTTATTTTTGAGACAGAGTCTTGCTCCATCACCCAGGCTGGAGTGTAGCAGCATGATCTCAGCTCACTGCAACCTCCACCTCCCCACTTCAAGCAATTCTCCTGCCTCAGCCTCCTGAGTAGCTAGGATTACAGACGTGTACCACCATACCCAGCTAATTTTTGTATTTTTAGTAGAGACGGGGTTTCACCATGTTGGCCAGACTGGTCTTGAACTCCTGACCTCATGATCAACCCACCTCGGCCTCCCAAAGTGCTGGGATTACAGGCATGAGCCACTGCGCCCGGCTATTTTTATTTTTTTGAGTCAGGGTGTCCCTCTGTCACCCAGTTTGGAGTGCCGTGGCATGATCATAGCTCAGTGAAGCCTCGAACTCCTGGGCTCAAGTGATCCTCCTGCTTCAGCCTCTTGAGTAGGTAGAACTACGGGCTCCCACACCATTTTTTTTTTCCACTTTTTTTAGAGATAGGGTTTTGCTATGATGCCCAGGCTGGTCTTGAAGTCCTGGCCTCAAGCAATCCTTCTGCCTCAGTCTCCCAAAGTGCTGGGATTACAGACAAGAGCCACTGTGCCTAACCTAGAACTATTTAGATTAACAATGTCTCTAAAACTTTAGTTTTATCTAAAATTTTAGTTTGATCCAAAAATGAAATGTTTACTGAGAAATTTCCTCTGACAGTGGTATGAATTGTTAAATATTTCTACTTTTTTTGTCACTCTATATAAAAATTAGGATATTTTCTGAAATTAGGCTTTATCTTATCATAAATATTATATTTGTTAGGCTTTATGTCATTATAAATATTTTATTGGCTTTATCTCATCATAAATATTATATTTTTCATCTTCTTTTTATTTAATTAGTTAGATTGAGGTCAGAGACTTCCCTTTGAAAATCAAGGTTTGCTAGGTAGCTCTTACCAATATGGATCTTTGAATCACAAAAGAGTGCCCCATTCCCATCCCAGCCCTGAAGTTATTGCAAAAATATGCAATTTGAGCGGTAGAATTAGAAAAACGGGCATTTTTTTTTTCTTCTGGAACAATTGCTTGGCTAGCATCATGGGTTTTTATTTTTCCCTAAACTCCTATCCTCCATCTTGTCAACCTCCCACACAAGTTAATTTGATTTAGATTTTTATGCATAGAGATCTGACTAGTAAGGGTGTATTTATTTAAGCCAAATTTAGTTGTTATATGTAGGAAGACTGATCTGTAGATGTGTAACACTTATTTATAAATGCTGATGCATTCTCTTTTCAGAGTTCAGATCTTTATTAATCTGCAAAAGCA